CTAACAGTGTTTTATCTGAGACTGCAGCTCACAGGCAGCAGAGCAAAACAATGATGAGACAGAATAACTCCTTCAGCAGCACTGTAGTGCAATAACAGTGCCACAGCATAAGTCAGATGTAAGCACATAAATATCCTGGGATGTGTTTCCCCTGGTAATTTTCAGTAAAAGTACAGAATAACTTATTCAGACTTTAGTTTAAATTGACAAAAACAACCTTGTAACTCTTCAGGAGCTGCACAAAACCCTCACAATAAAGCAGAATCACACATATCTCAGACTTGCATGGTTGTGGGGGACGTCTGGCCCACTCGTCTTTACGATGTCACTTCAGTTCATTGAGGTTTGCAGCACTGCTTTACATTCAGCTGTCTGCAGGTCCGACCACAGAGTCTCAGTCAGTTTGAGGTCTGGACTTTGAGTTATTCCACCACCTTGAGTCTTTTCTTTATCAGCTGGTGTGTTTGGGATTATTCTCCTGCTCAATCGCCCAGATGGCCTCACGTCTGACTCTAGAACACGTTGGTATACCGAGGAGTTCACAGTCTACTGAATGAACACAAGGTGCCCGAATCTTCATCCTTCCACCACTGTGCTGACAGTTGGTATGAGGCATTAATATGTTGATATGATAAGTCTGGTTGCGTGCATTGTGGTCAAACATCTCCACTTTACTCTCATCAGTCTAAAAACATTGTTCCAGAAAGCTTTGCAAACATAAGCCCTACAGATATTTTCATTTATCCTGGACCTCTTCCAAACCATCCACACTTGTTCAGTCTCTTTCTAATTTTACATTCATAAGCTTGAACATTTATCCTGCTAGCTGAGAGACTGAGATGGAGTTCTTGGGTCTGAGCATTGATCAGTAGCACCTGGGTGGTGTTTGCCCTCTAAGTGAGGTTGTACTTAGTTTTCACTTTTAACTCATGCCATGCTTTACACATTCGCCTAACCAGCAAAAGATCCCTGGTTTTGATTCCATGGGGAGACACAAATCCCTTTAGGATTCAGTGAGGAAGGACATCTGGCCAAAAGAGAAAAAAATCTGCTGTATCAAACATGGTGAGCTACCCGCTGTGGTGACCCAAAAGTATTAAATAAACATATTTATATTCTTTGTGCTTCCTCTTGTCTCAGACATATGGGTTCTTTTGTTTTCAAAGTCATTTTAAACATTAAAACGCTGGGAAAAAGTGCCACAATTACAGCAAAACAAGGAGGTTTTCTCTGAGCCTGCAGCGTCACTGGAAAACCATGTGTGGTGTTTGCAGGTTTGATGAACGGTGTCGAAATTACAGGGCCCGGCAAACGCAGGAGGGAGGGGGGACACAAAGTGATGGCATATTTGAACAATGTGAGGCATGTAGGAAGCTGTCACTATCACCTCCTTACATCACCTCGCCTTCATAAGCGTGTTTTCAGTCCTGACATGTTTTGCTCAGCACTAAGTACACAGGGCTGAAGCAGGCCTGGTAAAAAGATTATGTAATTTATTTTTTCCTCAGGCTTTTTTTTTTTTGACAGATTGATGCATTTAAAAAATTTACAAGTAACAGAAAACCAATGAATTCCCAGTTTTTCCTTCATAAACAGAATTAAATGAAACTACAACTGTGAATGAAGGCATCTTTTATTCCACTAGATTTGCTTAGTAACTATTTATAAGTATTGATCCCAGAATACAAAGCAACAACCCTAACAGCACACCTTTAACTGGAATAACAGTTAACCGAATTAACAGTAAACACTACCTATGCATTGATGCTTCAGTCTTAATCACATCATGTAATTTAATCAGAGTTCATTTACATATCCGGGTTTCCAAAGACTGCTACTCTACAGAACAATGGGATAAGGGACTGCAGGGAGGTTACTGTAGTGGGATTTAATCTATTCTGGGTGCAAAGTTTCAATTTTTGTTTCTCACTTGTCCTAGGAAACTCATTACCCAGCCATATTTTTGCATTCCTGAATCATAGCTGTGGAAGCATTTTTCACATAATAAAACAAACCCCGATCCCTTACCACCAACCTTAGTTATTAATTTGGACACAGCTCCTAACATTGATGAAATGGTTTAAAAATGAACTAAAAACTTAAAGTCAACATTTCTTTTTAAGTTTTTTACATTTGTAGTATTTTAGGCTATAAAATTATACCATATAATCTAAAAGTAAAGAAATATAAAACAATCATGTTAAAATAAATAAATAGAATATGTTACATAGTAAATCTAGAAATCCATTAATTAAAAACGTAATAAAAAATAAACCGCTGGTTTGGTAAAATAAAGATTAAATAACTTTAAAAGTCTGATTTTTATGCCGAAGACCACGGAAAAATAGTTTATAGTTTTATTGTTGACCTTTCGACTTGAAGGGAGGCTGATGTGGGACTTTTATATATTCTGGGAGACATGGGACACTTTGAATATATAGACTTCCTGACACGAACATTTCAGAGATAAAATAAAACAAAATATGACCTTTTCTGATTCTTTTACTGATCAACCAAAATGAAATCTTAAAGTTAGCATCTTCATATTTAATATTTGCATGTTTTTAGACTAAAGCTGGCGATTTAATGATAACATGTTTTATCCAGAAAGCTCACTAATCCAAACAAAAGTGGCTAAACGTTATGACAGGAGCACCTGAGGTGATCGTGAACTCACCTGCTCCAGGTCGTGGTCGTTGAGCAGATGGAGCTCGCGCGACTTGAAGCAGTTCTGACATTTGCTCTTATTAAAAATATTCGCCTGGAACTTGCTGCAGGGAGTCGCCGCCGCCTTTTCCCCGGACATGTTTCGGTGAGCGCCGCTTCTCCTCCGCGGGGACAGATCCAGACACGGCCCGCTCTCCTCCTCCTCTTCTTCGTCTCCCAGTTTAGTAAAGCGGTTTCTCCTCGAACAACATCTGTCACACTGAGCCGCGCGCTCCTGTCGTCA